TATGAGACTGTTGACAGTGTGGCTTAATAAAACAATAATGTTTTTCCGAGACAATGTTTTTCTTTGTTTTTCCTGGTCTTTTTCTTTGCTTGGTGTACTGTGTTTAGCAAACAGTGACATAAAGAAACTGTTAGCTAGCTAATGTTTTGTCCAGCCACTGATGCATTGAAGTAGCTAACAGCACAAGGCCAAAGTGATGTATGTAGTTCCAGTTTCCTGTTACTGGGTAGCTATAGCTGTGTAGTAGGTTGGCTCATGTACATTGAAAAAGTGGCGAGTTGTAACCGTGCTAGAGCCGGAGAGTTTGAAACTGGTGAGAGATTATTCTAATTATTGCTCACTGGCTAAGTTTTGACCTTTGACCTACACAATGATAATCAGAGTGGGTGGCTTGAGACTGGTTAAGTTTTACCACAAGTAATGTTCCATAGTACTTGTGCTGCAAACACTCTACTGCAACTACTTGTAACAAAGTACCTTGTAATCAACCATCTTTGATTGAAGATTGTTAATACAGTTTACAGTTATAATAATTATATTGCAGGATCAGGTGTAGAGAACGGACCCAGCGCGCAACGACTTCCGGAAGCCGCACAAGTGACCGCGCCCCCACGCACATCTCCCGCGCCATAGGCCACGCCCCCTACAACATTGCTCACGCACGAAATAACGGGAGGGGCTGCTAACTGCAAATCCACAGGTTTGTAAAACGTCCAATGGTAAGCCGAGCGGCATCAGAATACGGCTGGTTGGCAGCATCCTCTCCCTTTCACGCGCTCTGAGAGCTGACGCCGATCAGCTGCTCACTTGGTTCCAGACCAAGGGCCTGACATCTTGCTACCACATGTTCATGGCCTGTAAGGGCCTTGATCTGGAACCAAGCGATCAGCTGACATAGCCTCCAACTAAACTTTACGGTCGTCTCGTACACAACTTTTCCGTAGCGCGCTTCAACCAGAAGAGCCGCAATTTCCCCCGGAACTTCTTCCACGGCCACGGTTATTGGTCGTAAACCCAGAAAGCGGCAAGGTGGAGAGACGGATAACACTCGGGGAATTAAGAAAAATACTTATTCATTTTTCTCCCTTTTGCACCCTCTCCCTCTGTCACAATCCTTGGTCAAGTTTACATCTGGATTATCAAGCGGCGTGCCATCGCTGCTGTTGGCTTTTTATGGATTGGGGGGCGCAACCGTTTGAACCCCCCGATTGTCGTAATACTTGCCACGCCTTCTCGAGCGCGCTTCTCCTCCGTATTCTTCGATTTTTGCCCGTAAAAGTACGTAAAATTACGGGAAAATCCGTTACTTGGAGGCACTGAGCTGATCAGCGTAAGCTCCCAGATGTTGTAGGGGCCGGGGGCGTAGCCTATGGCGCGTGACATGTGCGTGGGGGCGCGGTCAAGCCGTTGCGCGCTCTCTACACTTTTGATCCCTCAATCCTGACGTCATTGTGTCGGCGCCTTCGCCTTCTGTGCGCACGCTCGGACGTGGGTCGCCGGCCACTGCGCATAGCTCGCCAATGAGTATAAGAAAAAGACTGTGCAAAATTGTCTTTCAGTGCTTGTATGTAGTTTTCGACATTTTTGTATGACATACACACGATGCGTGTCCTTTGTTTGTGCAGCTTTATTTTGTACGTGGTATTGACAGGTTAGTATTGCTAGTTAGGTTAGTGTTTTCTCATGTCCTTGGAATTTCAGAACTTTTTCACTATCCAGACAGTCATGGACAGCCAACTCTGGATCCACCAACTGGTTATTTCTGTCCCGATGTCAACGTCACTTACACTTGTCATGACAGTAATATAACCACTATGACATGGTATGCTGAACCTCACATTTCAGGACCAGGAATCCTATATGTACCGGGATATACCAGTGAATCCATGAAGAAATATGACGGTTTCTACACACAAGTTACCAATTTAAGTGAAGATATCGTGGCAGAGAAGTTTATCAGTGTGACAACTATTCTGACTGTGATCACTAGTGGAATAGAGAATGGAACAAACATCACATGTGTGACCTATAGAGGTGGATACCCACTGGTTTCCTCTTCAATTCTCTACTTTGCAGGTAATGAGATAAAGGTGACTGTGATAGCTATTGCTATGCCTATTTTACAGATCTCCCTCGCTGGAATAATACCCCAGAGGTAATATGGCAAGGGAATAACACAGCAGTACTAGAGCTAGGAGATATGTCTGATGGAGGAGGAGTTCCAATTGATCACTACATTATCCAAGTGGACAATGGCACACAGTTGGAAACTCCAGGCCCCACTTACAGTTTTTACATCATGTACAATACTACACTGTCAGTGAACATCTCAGCCCACAACTGTGCAGGATACAGTGACCCCTTACCACTTGAGATACAATGTGATGAAGGTGAAGCTAGCTAGCTACCTGACCCTTTGCTCATTATTTTCTGTGTGATTTGTATTTACACAGATTTTATGGAAGAGAGCTCATCTAGTATGACGCCTAGCCTTAATTCTAGCCTTCCAATCTGGAAGCTAGCAGTTCTTACAGGGATTGGGGTCTTTCTATTGATTGTCACAACACTGGTGACAGTGCTATCTTCATGCCTAATTCGAAAACACAGTTAGTTGTAGATTTTCAACTTGTCTATACTTAATGTATTTTACAGGGTCAAAAAGAAATCTTTCCGTTGCTTCAAATTTAAGGTACACCTTAAACCCCTGGCTTTTAATGAGAAAAGATCTTTTTTGCAGAATCGTGAACAGTGGGGGTAGTACTAGGATTGACCTGTGCAGCAATAATGGAACTCCAGCACCTGTGGAATACTCGTATATCCCAGTAAGAGAGTAGTTTACTGTCTCTATTAAGAGGGAGAAGGTCTCGTAACTTCCCAGTTGCTGACTTGTTCTGCTGCTGTGATCACAATTATTATCTAAGCTTTATGTTGTAGAAAGACACTATCACAGCAATAGGTCTAAGTCCAAATCATCATAAAAGGGGAGAGCTGGGCAGACCCTACAGTTTACTCAGTTACTGGGCCTGTGTGTGTCAATACCCTCCGTTTAAAGACTGAACTGTAAAACTTGCAGCAACAGGAAAGTCACCTGATCTTATTTTAGAGAGGGTCTGGCTCCTGTTCCTTGTTGCAGGTTACAGCTACCAGAAAGTATTTGGAGCGAGACTGTACAGGTCAATACAGCACAGTAATCAACACTGGTCGCTGCAACTCCTCTGATAATGTGAGATTATAAGCACGCAAGTTATTTTTTCAGTAGCTATGATGTGAGCTTCAACAAAAACTAGGTTCACAGGTTATCCTTGTAAGTTAGTTTATTTCACAATCATGCTTCACCTCAGGGAATCTTTTTCGGGGGTGATAGTTAGTCGTGTTATATTTTTGTACCCAGAAGCCCTAGAAATAAAGGCACGCACGCAGTGTATGCGCACTAAGAAAACTTATTAGTGCATGCCATGGTGTATGGTGTGCTGACTCAGCCATACACTCACATGTGGTGTATGAGCTCTCATACACCATGGCATGCATACTAATAAGTTGTCTTAGTGTGCTTCCAGTGTACAAATGGTACATTCACCCCACTCGTGCTGCGCAATCGTAGTGGATGTCCACCTAAAAGGGTGGATGCATTGGTAACTCTATAGTAAGAGGCACAATTAAGGCTAGGTGTTTATTGCTACCAGTCATTTTTGTGTGAGTGCAAGTAGAAAGTTATGTGTGTTCTCAATAAAGTATAGCTGCTTCTTCCTCTGCTGTGTGTGCATACATTGCTGCTGTAGTGTTTCATTAGCACAGTCAAGTTTGGACTTAAACATTGACTTCCACCTTCAGGTGCTTTCAATCCTCCCACATTATACTTTCACTGTTTACTCTCAGACTTTTTCCTTGTGTCTATTTCCTCCCACATAGGACTCTATTGGTATTCTGTTGCACATTTTTACAAAACACTTTATTACTAAAATATCCTGTCCATTATGATTAGCTGGTTGGAAGAGAGAAACTTACAGAGTAATTTTTTTAGGGACGATTTCCCTGTTCCCATTAGCGTATATAATCATTCGTGTGAGTGATACCAGAGTCTAAGCAGTACACTCAGTGAAGGCTTTCAGACTGTGTATATGTTTCATATGCTCATAAACTCTTTTATACTCTCATTAGTTCATTGGAACATATGCTGAGATTGAGCTCGTCACCACCAACTCAGCATCTCCCCACCACCACCAATGACAGGGAGACTGTCCAGTACTCTAGAGCCAGTGGAAAAACAGCCATGTCGTCAGACACCACAGGACCGTTCAAGGCGAGGTCGTTTCTAAATGATGAGAGATCACATGGTCAAGAGGACCAGGAGCAAAACAATTGCAGAGCCACTGATCTTCATCCCCTTGGTCAGCAACAAACAGTTTCTGTTTGACTGTATAATACACTATGTAATACCTAATTCAAGTACTTGCAGTTCCTAATGCTCACAATTACCCTAGGCAGAATATTATCCATGCACAGGAAGCTGTTCTATTAAACATAAAGTTCAGTTTCTTATTTTCAGATTTTCCGCACTACTCATCTAAATAATCGAGAACACAAGTTATATTCAGCGAACGCAGAATAGGCAAAGTTTTTTGATAGTCAACTTTGGAAGTCGAGTTGACAAAGTTGATTTGTGACTGCATAATAACAGTGGGTCCAACTTAATACATACCGTTTAATAGAAATATCCCGTATATTATCATACAAACCTGAAATCCAAAACCCAGCTTTCCCATACATTGTTTTATAGAATTATGGATATGTCATATCCCGACCAATTACATAGACAATTGAGTAATTTTTGGTTTTTGCCCAGGTAATCATTATGTGCATGTGTAATTCAACAACCTTGTGTAATTCAACAACCTTGGCCTGGAGTTTTGTCTCCACCTGGCTCCATTAGCTTATGTAAACAGATAGGTTAACTTATCTTGATTAGCTTAGCTAAACAAACTGCATTGTGCGCTATCTGGGTCAAAGTATACTTACATCAGTATACACAGTATACCCATGTATACCCATGCACCGCATTATACACACCCAAATTGTTGAATATTCTCTATTATCATATATTTTGTATGCACCGTGAGTATGATATTAACCGGGGACCCACTGTACTTTTATTCACCATCAGACAAGGATATCAGTGTTCACTTAATCCTGCTCCAACTGATGACTGTACAGTCGTGTTGGCGTGCTCTGGGTGAGGCTGCTGGACTGGAGAGGGAGACTATGGACATGGTGGGTGTGACCTTATAATGTACACACCAACAGAGCACCACTACATCAATTGGTAGAGCACTCACCTAGAATGCAGTGCCGTAGCTTCGAATCACACTATGGACCTTAATTAGGCAGGAAGCAGAGGAAGTGGGAAAGGCAGTTCCAGAAAGAGTTATCCTGGGTGTAGTTGACTTGTCTGCTTTAACTTGCCTTTCTATACGTCTTTTATGACACATTCATTACAGTGGATATATAGAATGTAGCTAGCTGATTGTGAATATGGTCTAGCATAAGAAACATTGTTTTTGGCAGATTGACGGGGAGTTGGGTGATGACAGTGCCAAACTGGCAGAGGTGGTGTTTCGGTGGTATGAGAGAAAGGAGTGTGTGAGGTGGTCAGATGTGTCCTCTCTCTGTGAGCAGATTGGTTTCAACCAGCTATCCGAGGCCATTAGCACTGCTTACATCACCGGTGAGTTTTATCGTACCATGGTAAACGGATTTCCACAACTCAAGTGTTTTTCTGAAATGGTGAGAATGATTGTGTTTCCGCGCAAAGTTGTTTATCCAGGGGTGGCCTTGTGTACGCTACCTCACCAGTACATATACTCTTTCCTTTCACTATACTGTATAGTCTGCCAGTAATGCCTGTGTACAGAACAGAAATATCCAGAGTTTTTTAGGCCCACTGAGCATGCAAGCGCACTATGGTACCCAAAAGACATAAATTTACAGTAATAACTCGGCTTTGACTCAATTGACTGTTTTGGGTTAGTCAACCAGAAACTTTCGATGTGGTGTTTTGGCAAACGAACATAGCTAGCAGCATGATCTTGGACTGCAGATAGTAACCACACACGCGAAACATTTGACGCTTCACCACTCGCTTGCCAGCATTCCTCTACTAATCATAGATGTTCTTTTGTTTATTGCAGGGGCTCTCCCAGTCAAGATGATCAGAGGTGGAGCTCCCAACCTCAGACAAGACGCCTGCCCGCAGTTCTGCCCCCACGCAGAGCCACATCGGGTGATAACGAAGGGACTCCAGCATCCCCCCACACAGGCCCTTGATCTTTGATAATGAAGGAGCCCCAGCCGTCCTTCCACACAGGTTTTAATAGAGATAATGAGGGTGCCCCTGCCATTTCTCCCATAGCCACAGACTTGGAGTTGCCTATAACGCTGCAGCTATTTCTCTAGAGAGGACCGAGAGTGATTGTGATGAAGGGACTCCCCCACCTCCTCCACTTCCTCCTCCCTTAGCCCCTGAGGATATTGATTTTTGATTACTACTGAAATAGATTTACTTTAGTCATTAGTTTAAGTCATACAAGGATCAATAAGACTGCAGCATTAATTGTTCATTAATTTTTTGTTTTGTCTTTGTGCAATACGTGTTCATGAGATTTTCTAAGCTGCAAAAAAACTTCTGCAATAAGAACCAGCATGTGTACCACATCTATGGTTTGAACGATAAAAATCATTATTAAACTGGTATATATCTGTTTCTCAACTCAAGGACACACTCTTCCACCAGTGACACCATTCCTTGCCCCTCCCCCCATTCAATTAACTGCTGACAACTCATAACACTCTGTATTCAAGTGGGGGTAAAAAGAAAATGAACGTCACCTATTATTCTTATGAATAACAAAGCGACAAAATGTCATTGGTAAAGAAGAAAAGGTGAACTTTATTTGCGTTACCTCATTGAGGTTGCTGCTATTTCCTGTACTGTGTTGGCGTACAGTCCTGCTGTCATGTTTCCATAGTAAAACCTAATAAGGAATATCCACCCTGAGTGTGTTTTCAACCTTCCCACATAGGCTCTTTCAGTGTTTACTTCCTTATGTCTGTTTCCTTTTACTGTAGCTACTCGAAACACATATTATCTAATCACTTGTACACTATAAAACACTCTTCTTTATTAGCACTTCTGTCTAAATGATTAGCTGGTGAGAGGAGAGAAGTTACATGCATACTAAGAGCCCAGCCCAACAATTAGGGGTATCGCGCATGAGCAGCTCGCCAAGGGTGTTGCACTTTAGTACTTTTCATTAAACTGGTATCTGTCTCAACTCAAAGACACTCTCTTCCACCAGCGACACCTTCACCAGACGCAGTCTGATACTGTTTGTGTGAGATTGTTGAGCACTCGGATTCTAACCTAAAAGGTCAAACGTTCAACACAAAGGATGGGTGTCTGAAACTATATATCAAGTGCTCATTGTCAGCTTCCTCTGCAGGTCCACTAAGAAAGGTACACTGGATAGCTACACACACCAACACAGACTTATTCAACTCCCTTCCCTCCCTCCAGACTCATTATTGCTTCCCTGACCTGAACCTGAACGTTAATCTTGGCCCAGCATCAATATAGACATTCAATTAACTGCTGACAACTCATAACACTCCGTATTCAAGTGAGGGTAAAAAGAAAGTGAACGTCACCTATATTCTTATGAATAACAAAGCCACAAAATGTCGTTGGTAAAGAAGAAGAGGTGAACGTTATTTGTATTAGGTATATACCTCATTGAACTTGCTGCTATTTCCTGTACTGTGTTGGCACACAGTCCTGCTGTCATGATTCCATATATAGTAAAACCAAATAACCCTGAGTGTGTTTTCAACCTTCCCACATAGGCCCTTTCAGTGTTTATTTCCTTAGATCTGTTTTCTTTTATTGTAGCTACTCGAAACACATATCTAATCACTTCCACACTATAACACACTCTTCTTCATTAGCACTTCTGTCTAAATGATCAGCTGGTGAGAGGAGAGAAGTTCCAGAGACATGTGTTCTCTCTCCCAACTATCTTTATGCTCATATCATAATTATGTGTAACACAAGAATAACGTAATAAGCTACCATAATAATCCATGGGGGCTCAGAGCTAGGAAAGTTTCCATACTGTATATACCTATAATGTTTTCTTGTAGAAAGTGCCCATCAACTGAAAAGGGTTCACAAACAAGTTGTTCAAATGTTTAGCATAAATCAGCTAAAAATTGACATTTTAAAAAATCAAACAAAGTCTGAAAATTCGAAAATGAAATTTTTTTACTAGAGACACTGCTATTATCAAGATTGACTGTTGACATTTACATTAGCAAGTAATTTTTATTCACTATCAGACAAGGATATCAGTGTTCGCTTAATCCTGCTCCAACTGAGGATTGAGTGAGTTCGATCCTACGTGGTGCAGCTAAATGAGCTGTCTTGGGTATTGTTGACTTGTTTGCTGTGCCTTGCCTTTCTACCTCGTTGATGACTAGACTTTGGTCAATTATGCTGGCATATTATTTTAGGCATGCATAAGCATTTAGGAATAATGCTAGCATTATAGGCATCTTCTACTGGCATAATTTCGAACACTTTAGGCATTATCCCGCACCCCCAAATGGTGTGGTGGGCGTGCTCCAATCAGCGCGCTGCCAACGCTGTCGCACGCGCGCCGCCGCCGGCAAGCTAGCGTGTGTTGACCTCCTATACTACACTACATGGCGTGCAAAAATGCGCGTGTCAATGTAGTACACAACGGGCACGAGTTTTGTGACTGGTGATGACGAGGCTGGATCAGACGCAACTGCTAGCAAAAAAAGGAGATAGCATTTTAGGTAAAAACTTGAGCATTATATTTCTTGAGCATTAAGTGGACCTGCATGAGAATGCTATTTAGGTGAAAACTTGAGCATAATTTGCCAAAGCCTATTGATGACACATTTTCATTGCAGTGAATGTAATGTAGCCACTTGTGAAATGATATAGGAATCATTCCCTAAGAAAAATAATGTTGTGCAGATTGACGTGGAGTTGGGTGAGTGACAGTGCCAAGCTGGCAGAGGTGGTGTTTCGGTGGTATGAGAGAAAGGAGTGTGTGAGGTGGTCAGATGTGTCCTCTCTCTGTGAGCAGATTGGTTTCAACCAGCTATCCGAGGCATTAGCACTGCTTACATCACTGGTGAGTTTATCGTAGTATCGTAAATGGATTTCCGCAAGAAGCATTTTTCTGAAATGGTGAGAATGATTGTGTTTCCGTGCAAAGTTGTTTATCCAGGGGTGGCCTTGTTTACGCTACCTCACCAGTACATATACTCTTTCCTGCTAGAGTCGTGATGGGACTTTCACTATACTGTATAGTCTAGTAATGTCTGTGTACAGAACAGAAATGTCCAGAGTGTTTTTTGGGGCCCACTTGAGCATGCATGCACTAGATGGTTACCCAAAAGTTTCAGTAATAACTGTGGCTTTGGCTCAATTGACTGTTTTCGGTTAATGAACCAGAAACTTTCGATGTGGTGTTTGGCAAACGAACATAGCAGCATGATCTTTGGACCACAGATAAGTGTACCAGTAAAGAAGTGCAGTCTTTAGAAAGTAGCCACTGACCATACTACCATAAAACTAGGTTCCTATGCACAATCTAAAACAGCATGAATGTTGCACTTGGCCTTCCTTGTCGTTTTAATGATGTAACAGGCACTGTACATACAACGTGCAAAACATGTGTGACAATGTTGACGCTTCATCACTTCGCTTGCCAATCATCTGTTGCATTCCTCTAGTAATACATTTATTGCAGGGGCTCTCCCAGTCAAAGATGATGCAGAGATGGAGCTCCCAATTTCAGACCAGACTCCTGCCCCAGCTTCTGCCCCCACGCAAAGCCACATCGGGTGATAACGAAGGGGCTCCACCCATTCCCCCACACAGGCCCTTGATCTGTGGTAATGAAGGAGCTCCAGCCATCCCTCCACACAGGTTCTAATAAGAGATAATGAGGGTGCCCCTGGAGTTGCTTATAACGAGGAAGCTGCAGTTTTTTCTCTAGAGAGGACCGAGATTGATTGTGATGAAGGGACTCCCCCACCTCCACTTCCTCCTCCCTTAGCCCCTGAGGATATTGATTTTTGATGACGACGGTCATACGTTTACATAGAGTCGTTAGTTAGTCATACGAGGATCTGTAAGACTACAGCATTTGTTGTGTTTATCTTTGACTGTACTATATGAGTATTCTCAGCTGCCTATGAATGAAGAATAATAAAAGTTTACCAGCATGTGTGCCACATCAATGGTTTGAACCATTATTAAACTGGTGTCTGTCTCAACTCAAACTCACATACTTAGCTCACCTCTTCCACCAGAGGCACATTGCATTTCACTAGACACAATCTGATATTACATGGGTGAACACTGGGATTATCGCCATAATATTTTTCTTAGCTCCAAAACGTCTATAATGAAATATCTTCCCACAACTCACTATAATTATACTCAACACAAAGGATGCATTGCTGACTCAAGTAACTGGAAATGCTCAAACATATCCTCAAACTTCCTCAGCAGGTCAACTAAGAACAGCTAATGTACAGTGGATACTCACACACACACCACCAACACAGACTCCTTCACCCTTCCCTCCCTCCAGACTCTCATCATTGAGTCCTTGCGTCCCTGACCTGAACCTGAACATTAATCTTGGCCCAGCCAAAGCGCATACCCAAACACGCTCTATATGTGTGCTCTGCACAGTGAGGTTGAGGGTGTAAAGAAACCAACTGAAAATCTTTCTGCACATGCAAGCGTGCCGAAAGCATGCTCCCTGTGCTTTAATCCTTTGGACGCCATTTAGCGTGGCTCAGCAAAAAAAAAAAAAAAAACCTAGGTGAGTCACCCCAGGAGTGACGTTGGGATTTGCGTATGTATATAGGTTTCGATGAGGAGCTCCACTGCAACTCTTTCCGCCATTAGCATGGCTCAGAAGCTCCCATCTCGTGTGCATGCTCATACAATAGTAGGCGGGGTGAAGTGAACGATAATAGTAGTCCGTACAATGCATTATGACAGAGTGAAAAATTAAAAGTTATACAGAAGGAAGAATTGCGAAAGTGTAGGAAGAATTTCAGGAAGAAATAGAGGAAAATATTTCTGCTCTACGTGCAGGAAAAATCCTTGTATTCTTCCTGTACATGAGGAAATGTCCTACATTTTGCTTGAAATTCTGTACATTTCGCCACATTCCCCAAACATTATGATATTACTGGTTTCTTATAGAGAGTGTTAGCAAGCACATCAGGAGCTCATGTTGACTGAATTAGCTGGTTAGCTGAGTATGTCCTACATTAAGGTGACTGGAGTGGCTATCTGGTGTGCCACATAGGCACCAGAGCCATAGCCAGAGTGGGTGTTGTAGCCATAGTCACTGCTGTTCATACTCTCTCCTGCGAAAGATACAGACTGTCATGACTGCTTTAGAAGGTCGAAGAACAGCTTCCGGACTCCTGTGTCAGAGGCAGTAAAGGCACACAGCGGAACAAGGTGGATACAGCTCCGCTCCATTCTCGATTACGAGAGAGCCTGTATGGATCCGGTATGTCTGGCCCAAATATCTTCCTGCGATAGTCATGACTTCACACAGGTCTCTTTTCACTCCGTTTTGAGACTCTCAGCGTCCAGATTCTCTCAGCAACGTCAACAGGATGACAATTTGGGTTAGTTTGTCTCTAGAAGATATAGGGCCTCGTTGAGAGACGTATCCAGGAACCTGCGGGTCATTCCTCGATGACATGCCAAAAAGAAGAGTTGAAGAGAGATGGACCTTGCCGATAGATCGACAGGGGTGCATTCCTGAAGGCATCGTGTTTCCAGTCAGTCAGCGCGGTTAGAAACGAAGAGCAGAGTCTCTTCTCGATAATATGTATGCATGGAGGGCTCCTTTACTAAAGGTCACAATCCTACCCCAACAGTATAGTGATGATCCATTAACGTTGTGCACACAAGTTCTTTTCGTGTGTACTGCGTACAAAAGAGTTGAGTTTACAAGATCTTTCTTGAGTTTCTCGCAAGGCACCTGTTCACGAAGGGGTTCTTCCTTTTTTTAATCAGTCATAGTAGGTGTATGGAGGGAGTAAAGGGCAAGGGGGATTGCTTCATCTGGTGTTGTGTCAGTCAAAGTCTACACTTTATCCACTCAGTAAAGTTGTCAGTTGGGTGAGTGTCGTCCATCACTCCTTCGTGAAGCCCTACATGGGGAAATGTTACCAGCAAAGATCATCGCGGCAATGCTTTTGTATGCCTAATCAACGCCGCATTTCTCTTCAAGTACGTTCCTTTAGTCCAATGTGTACTCAACCAGAGCTATTGTTGGACAGGTGAGTCAAAGGGAGTGACAGCAATCAGACATCTTCGTCACGGCTGTCCATTCTCCAGATGGGGATGGTTCTTCCTGTGTTCTCAAGTCCAGCCGTGGATCCAGTTAGCCCCCCGGCTACAGGACCGCGCCATCGTCCTCCCTGATCGACCTCTATTCTGTCCCTGCCCCAGGACAAGGAAGTCTGGGACAACGTTTCAATTCAGGTGTTCTGGTGAGGTGACCCCAGTGATCCCTGCTCCATAGTATGGCGTCGTCACCTCGGGGCCCTGCTGTGCAAGTTCGACTGCACGCGAAGGACAACACAGTACGGCTAG